GACATAAGTTAACAAGTCCCATGTGCCTGTAATTTCACCAGCACCCTTACCCTTCAAAACCGATGCTCTCATAACTACTTGGCGGCAGAAATAAGTTACTGCTGCTAAAAAGATCTTTGGCGTCTTGATGCTTCCAGCGATATCTTGGACTTATGTCCCATGTACCTATAATTGAACCAGCACCCTTCAAAACCAAAGCTCTACTGCTAGTAAATAAGAAGTTATAATATGTATCATTATTAATAACAAAGACTGAACACTTATAAACATCCATTCGCTCCGGCTGGATTCGAACGAGCACCCTCGGGAAATTGTGGCATCTGCTCTGGTTCTACGCCGCCGATCGGCGACCGCCCAGTTACCACGCCTTCATATACATTAATGGCGAATCTGAATTCTATTTACTAGCAACAACGTTTAGTTTTCTCTGAATAATACACCCGCGCGGTTGCCGTGCGGTCGCCGCGTAGATCAAATTCAGCCAGGATCGCCCTCGTGCGTATAATTAAAAATTATAATATTTATCATTCTATTTGTTTCAGGAACATTCAAAACAGCTTCTGGAACACCTTACGGAGTCAGAGAAATTATTCTTGTTCGGCTCCAACCATAATGGTAAGTAGAAAATACAAATTACAGATTATAATTATTAATATAAAGATCTGCAACAAGTTCATAGAAAAGTTCGTAAGGTCCGCTAGTTCGTTCCGTGGCTTACTTGGCATAGCGTCTGGCACGGTTTGCTAGACGACGCTTTGGTTCGAATCCAGCTGGATCGAAGAAATTTTGTCTTAGGCGATTAACACACTGCACCGGGACGCGGAATCACGCGCGCGGTAGCGGAGACGCAGATCTGCGTCCACGCGCGGTTTAATCTGCGCGGAGGCAGCGGTCTAGCGGCCCTAATAAAATATAATATACCAACGGATTTATATTACATAAATAATGTACGACAAATCGCGTAGTTGAACGTGTCATTATGTTTTTTTTCGTAGAAAGAAAAAGTTAGGTTCACCACAGTCCATCGTCAAGTTCGAATTTCCAAAATCTTTTCCGAGCTTATATTTGCGCGCAGATTTCTAATGAGAAAGAAAGCCTTTCCGAGCTAGTGAGGTGAAAAAAATATTTCAGTCGTTTTCGCTCTGCGAAAAAAATTATGAACCAAAATTCTCAAGTTTTCGCGGTAATTTCTTTTCCAACCATATTATTTTCCCGCGTTAATGCGTTTGTTGTATCTGACAACAAACTCATTAACGCGGGAAAATAATATGGCCCCACCGTCTACGCGGAAAAGGCACGGAACTAAAACCGAGCGTACTGCCAACTGTCTCCAGCTACTTGGAGTAGTCCTGTCGTCCAATTTGAACTTTGGCAGATACATAGAATCCATGGCCAAAAACGCAGCCAAAAAGCTCGACATCCTTTCCAGGGTGAGGCGTTACTTGACACCGGGACAGTTGCTTCAACTGTACCAAGCACAAGTCCGGTCGTGTATGGAGTACTACTGTCACCTACGGGCTGGCTTTGCTACATACTGTAGACTAGGCAGTATGATTAGAAATACAGGCTGAATGAATGTAGGTTTGTGTTTAGAATTATATAAAAGAAATAGGATTGTAAAAAAAGAATATCTTGGTGGTTCTAGAACTAGCTTCGATCTGAAAACACGCAATAAATCTTTATTCATGAATATAATGCTCGTTTATCTTTGACAAGTGCCACTCGCTACGCTAACCCACGACTACGCCCTTTTACAATACCAACTGGCCACCTTGGATTCAATTGACAAGCGTGCCAAGAGACTTATAGGTGACTCAGAATTAGTAAAGGCGAAGCTGTAAACCCTTGAACACCGCTGTAAAGTTGCCTACTTATGGTATTCTACAGGATATATCACGGAGAGTGTGCGAGGGAATTGCACGAATTAATGCCGCCTTCCACTTTCCATCATCGGGGGACCAGGCGTAGGCTGGGGTTACACCCCTATGTTGTGGATATTCCAAGAATTCACACGAAGCGCTTCGCTTCCACATTTATATGACGAACGGCTATGGAGTGGAATTCCCTGCTTGCAGACTTGTTCCCTGAACGTTACAACCTGGACCTTTTCAAGGCGAGAGTGAATAGGCATTATTTAGGTGTGCATGCTACATCGTCACTTTCCATCAAGTGAGATGGAAGTCAAATGCGCACTTAGTTTTTAACAAAAAAATGTACTACTGGATGTTTGAGTCGGTTCACTCGAAATAAATTAAAAAATTCATTGACTTACAAATAAATGGACGGCGGGTCTAATACAAAAACTACGAAAAAAATATCGCAAGTCAACCCATTTAAACGCAGTGATATGTAAAGGAATATGAAAAAGCTAGAACGTTAAATTTAAATTGTAATGTCATCGCTGTCTAATTTTGCTTGCTTCGCTGTCACCTCGAACAAACGAAGACTAAAGCGTGAATGACGCTCTGTATACGATTTTAACGCCCTATAAGTTCGGACACTTTTTAACGCGGACCCGACGTCCATATAATTGTAAGTCAATGAAAAAATTGGATACTTTTTACTTCATAGGGATTAAATGATGCACTTTACTCCCGCTACGTAAGGTTATATTGACGTACTTTTAAAGCATGATACGTGGAAAATTACTTTAAAGTGTGTGAAAACATTTCTTCACTCGCAAATTAGGGAAAATTGTATGCATAGTTTACGCCAAATAGCATGGCCATAGCGACCAATCACCAGTTCCTACCACTGTATATGTACGTCATTTGTGAAAACGATACTCATCAATGTTCCTATATGTATGGTATAGGTCACTTTGATGTACGTATGAACTCGGGGGTTGTAAACATTTAAATATTCTGCATTGTATAATAAAACTATGGATATGATATACGGATATACAAACAGTTTGTATGTATATCAAAATAATTAAATAAATAGTGTACAATGGGATGCTTTCTTTAAAAAAAATTCTTCCAACTAAACTATTTATTTATTAACGCATTCAACTTTAATTAACTGTTTTTCCACAACATCTATTTGTCATTTTTTCTGCAACACAAAAGGTTTTAATAACAGCATAGTTCCCTGTGAAAGAGTTCGTCCAGCGAAGTACTGCCATGTAACCTATTTCTGTCGCCAAGCAATAAATAATACGAGCATTACTCCATTCCGGTTTTGAAAAAAGTTACACACTTACACACCCATGAGACTTGTCAACTTATTTCTCAGTGTGACAGGCGCAGTGGTAGAGCCCCTTAGATCTTTGCGATTTACTGCAACGATTATGGACAGGCATGTTGCTTAAGAGGGAGCAGGCCAAAAAAGTTTTGACGTTCCCGAAGTTCGCGTGATATGCGACAGGAGATGTTGAATTTTGCGCATTAAAAGTACCAAATTCGTTTTAGCGGAATTACTCTAAAACTAAAGGGATTTAAAAAAAATCCGTAGTGACAATTGTCGATCATGCATAAATATAATTAATTATCTAATTTTTGTCCTAATAACCTGTAGCATTTCGAGGATAAATCGAAAAAAATGTGAAAATTAGAGGTTATTTCGTGATTTTTATCTATCGAGGAAACTTTATTGTTTTATGTTTCTGATTAATGTCTATGCCTGAATATATCGTGTAGTTACTCATACAATATTTTATTTTTAACTTTAAAGTGGATATACCCCTCTAAAATCAAATCGAAGATTTAGAATTTTTCCTCTGCTCCCTCTTAACGATTTGTTCCGTCACTTGATGTTATAAAAAAAGTAAAAGTGAATTTAAAAAAAAAAAAAATTTTTTAATACAGTTATTAATTTATTTTGATGATTTGACTATCGAGTAAATTTAAACCCGGTCAAAAGTTAATTAGAATAAAAGTTGCACAAATAACCCACATCAAATTGTGAGAGAATCTTGTGAATTGAACTTTCTTCATTTCTGTATCGACGTACCGTTTAACCGTGAGAGAGTTTTCTCACAATTTGTACGATTATTACAATTGTTAATAACACTTTGTGTGAATTTGACCTACTTAATATGTTTAAATTTACGGAAGCTATCAAGTTTAAAGGAAAATTCAAATTTACTTGTGTACCGTATTCACGGATTCGTACTTAATATCGACTCATCCGAAGAACAGAGTCCGATATGATGCGAAAAGAGAATAAGTACGTTACGAGAACAATTTCGTTATTCAAAATTCGGTCCTATGTACAGGTATTTTGAGAATTTATATATCTTACTTCGTTTCGGAAATATAAAATCGAACAAAGGTAGATCTGACATCCACAGCGAAAAGGAACGAACGAAATGTACTATGTCCTGAGAACAAGTAGTCTTACACATAGACCTTTGTTCTACGGATGTGTCGATATGTTTTAGGCGTTTTGACGCTTTATGCCATAAAGGCAAAATGCCAAACGGGCAGAATGTCAGATTCGCAGAACGCCAGAGAACGCCAAATGCCAAATGTCACTGCCAGGAACAAGCCTTCCTCCTCGTGACGTACCAACTAATGTCTTAGTGGACGTCATTCGGCTGAAGTAATGATGATAATGAGGCGAGGTTCTGATGGTTTATTAATTTATCGAAAACAAAATGTAGTTTCCTCTAACTACTAAATAACTGATACATCTATCATAAAGAAACTTGCTAACTTTACAGTTTCAATTAGGTATTACTAATTTATATTGCTATATTAGTAGGTACCTACACGTAATTTTAAATGTATTTTTTTTAGAATTCCAAATTGGTTAATTCGTTGTTATTTAACATTGGTGTTATGTTTAAGTTTGTGCAGGAGGTTTGAGTTAATGGCGAATTGGTGGCAAATCTGTTTTGTCTTATTAAATTTTACCCGTCACTATTTACTTCAGGCTGTCTTTCAAGTTAGGCGATTAGGCCCTTGAACTTCATGAAATGAATATTCATTTATATGTATAGATCTACAATATCATTTATGTGCTTCTCAACAGCCGAATTCGAAATCGCGCACCTCATGCATTCAAAACGCCGCCGGCGGTCTCTTTATCAAGGCAACGAGGACATCTCATCACTCAAAAGCCACCTCAACATGAGACCAGCGTCACGACAGACCTTCCTCGATCCTCAGTTCCTGATGATGAGACGTTGGAGCAATGATACAGAGCTGGTAGTTGACCAGCTTGATGATGAAGTGGATTTGTGTTATTATAGAGGAGCTAACGCTGCCTTGTACATTTGTGAAGATGTGGTAAGTCACTGCATTGTATTTTATATCGCCAACAAGTTAAGTGTCAAATAAGAATTTTGCATAGCTTTAGCCTTATGGCGCGTTTACATCGGGTCGTCGGTAGGTACACCGAGTCATATGCCGCCTTCGGCAGACTACTTCGCCTCGCCGACTAAGACGACGCAGTTAACTCGCCATTTACACCGAATCGTATGCCGCTTTCGGCAGACTACTTCCCTTGTCGAAGGCGACACGGTCGACTTGCCATTTACACCAAATCGTCTGCAGCTTTCGCTTACAAAATCCTTATCGCGGTGAGGCGCGGCAGCGAACACGTTGAAGCCTGTTCGGCTGAAACAGTCGCTTGTCAAAGGCGACCGTGTTACCCACAACTAGTCGCTTCGATCGATTTCAGCTGCGATCTAGTCGTCAGATGCCTCACTAATTACACCAGTTGCCTGCCTACCTGGTATAAATGCGCCATAATACTCATCCCTGGAAGAAACTGTGACTAGAAAAGTTAAAAGCAATGATACAGTGAAGTATACAGTACTAATGGAGTATTTTTATTTGTTTCAGAGAGGATTACTGAAATCAAATGATACGTACTACTCGATACATCCTCTACCAGAAAGATTTCATACAAAAGACACAAAACCTCACATTATAGTCAAACAAAACCCTAACCCAAATAATGAAGCTGCCTGTCTCGAAAGAGACGCAAATAATAACTTAGTTCCTTCTGAATCAGTTAAAATATGGACCAAACATAGGAGAAAAAGAGACATCGATACAAACAAAGACTTAGAACGGTTTAAAGTTAATCTTCTAGCGCATAGAAACAAAACTATAGGAACGTTTATTAAGAAACTAGTAAAAAACACTCCTAGGCAAAAGCGAGCTATACTTCCAGCAATCTTTGTTGAGACTGCAGTATTTGTAGATAGGGATTTATATAAACACATGACGGTAAATTTTCCTAAAGATACAGAAAGAGAATTGGTAAGATTTGTACTAGCTATGATCAATGCTGTACAATTGTTGTACCATGATCCGTCTCTGGGGCGGCCAGTGAATTTTATTCTTAAAAGACTGGAGATTTTACATGAAGATCCGGTGAATTTGAAAAGACCTCATGATATAGATAGATTTTTGAGCAATTTCTGTACGTGGCAAAGGTTGGAGAATCCACCAGGGGACAACGACCCTTTGCATTGGGACCATGCGTTGATTTTGACGGGATTGGATTTGTACGTTGTTAATAAAAACGGGAAAGTCAGCAGCCAGGTTGTGGGTAAGTCCAAAGTTCATTAATTAAGGTCATCGAAGATTTGTGGTCAGATCCTTACAGCTAAAAGATAAAATACCTTGGTAGCTTGTTTTATTATGTAATCACATTGACTTACAAATAAATGGACGACGGGTCTAACACAAAAACCACGAAAAAAATGTCCCAAGGCAACCTATATAAACGTAGTGACATGTAAAGGAATATGAAAAAGCTAAAACGTTGAATTTAAATTGTAATGTCATCGCAGTATTGTCTAATTTCGCTTGCTTCGCTGTCAGTCGAACAAACGACGAATAAAGCGTGAATGACGCTCTGTGTACGATTTTAACGCCCTATAAGTTCGGACACTTTTTAGCGCGGACCCGACGTCCATATAATTGTAAGTCAATGTGTAATCACTATAAATTCGATAAAGAATTGAAGTTTCAAAATTTCACCTAGAAAACAATATTGTAATACAAATGGGCAAAACAGTAGGTATCAGAGTTTTGACACAAATTTTCGATTACTTTCCTTTTTATCGAGTTCTTAGGTTTTCGCGATTGTTACACATAGGAAATGAAACTATTTTTCCGGATTTAAATTTTTGTTTGACTGGTCAGTCAACCGTGACCATGGGACCTGTAAAGGGCCCGAAACGTCGGTTTGTTTGAAAAAACAAATATACGCGATTTAAATCCGGAAAAATAGTTTCATTTCCTATACTTTCCTTTTTGTTATGCTCGCTACGGCAGTGTGTGAAAAAATATCAACGGTAATGTGATTTATTTCCGAACACGTTAACTCACTGATTAACATAAAAATATTATTAAAAAATTGTAAAAGTCAGTTTTACATAGTTATATTTTAGATAGATATTTGCCACAAGGTAACATATAATAAACTATAGAATCTGTAACGAATTTGTGAAACTATATCATCAATCTCGATCATGGAGTCATTAGCGATGAGAAAATTGCATAGTGATCGACCATTGGAATACCAACATGAATCTTATACATTAGCTTCTCCATCTGAATCACTTTGGTAAAATGACCGACATTGGAAAACCTTCAACAGACTCCAATATGTTATTTACATTTTCTAATCAACATTTTCAACGTAACCGTGGCACGATCTTTTTTGAAAACTCATCTGGTCCCTTATAAGATTCCTGCAATTTATTTGTTTTTTTTTTTTGTGTAAACAACAATATAAATTTTGCAACTTGTAGCAGCAACGATCTGTATCCTTCTAGAGCAGCAGAAAAATCGTATTTATCGGTGTCAGTACTGATGTTGGTTAAATAGCGTAGCCCTTATCTCTTTGTTCGTTGGTTCATTTCAGGCCTTGCTCCAGTCGCCGGAATGTGCACAGTGACAAGCAGTTGCACCGTGAATGAGGGCAGGCACTTCGAAAGCGTGTACGTGGTCGCTCATGAAATAGGACACAAGTAAGTGGGAACAGCAGTGATAGTCTAGTTGTCTTGTGAATGCGAGGTAGTCGATATGTATGTCGGTATAGACAAGTCTTATCAAACTCATGTGGAATACTATTTTTATTATCATCTATCTTAATGACGAAGACACGTCGAGAAAACCTTTTCACAAAGCTAATCTGACACCCTTGACCTCAAAAAGCACTAGTGCAAAAAATTCAACGTAAATAAGTTGACTTTAACTACATAACTGGAATTCTGTTGCAGTTTGGGTATGCGTCACGATGGACCTCTAGCAGACAACGGCTGTGACCCCAGCGCCTACATCATGAGCCCTACTCTGGGCAGCGGCAAGATCACCTGGTCTCAGTGCAGCAAGAATTATCTGCAGAAATTCTTGGAGTAAGTATACCATAACACCAAGTGGGTATACCGTCGAACGTGTCGTGTTAAAACTTATTCTGGCCTATTCATCGTAACCTGATGAAACGAATTTTACTTTTAGATAACAGTTTTAATAAAAGCACTTTCTTGCAAAAAAAGATGTAATGTCTCCTAAATTCCATTAGTTCTATGGGTTGAACAATACGATATTGTACTGTGTATTATTTTCTGACCAATTAATGCTATTCTGCAGCACATCTCAATCTCGATGTCTGCTGGACCACGGCAATTCAGCTGGGCAGTTAGATCACAGCGCAGAAGGCATTCTGCCGGGAGAAAGATTTGATGCCGATCAACAATGTAAGTCGATAAAGTTTTCGTTAGTGAATTCTTCCATCTTAAACCTTAAAGTATCCATTTTTGGGTATAGCATCTCCTGGACGACTTTTGTCGAATTAACGATTATCTTTTTGGCGATGGATTCCTTCCATCTTTTATGAACTAAGTACAATGTTCTGCATCTTAGCAATTATGAAAATCTTATTCACAATCTTTTCATATATGTTTTTCTTTACCAGGTATGCTAAAATACGGTAGAGGTAGTCGACATGCAGCCGCTCAAAATTTAGAAGACGTATGCAGGGATCTGCACTGTCAGAGGGAACGCTATACGTGGACATCACATCCAGCACTGGAAGGAACTAAATGTGGCGAAGATATGGTGAGATTTTTTCTTAAATTTGTACTTTAACTTTTGCGATCGCTACAAGTCCTAAGTAAAAGATAGGAAATTATTTGATTTCCAATGATGCCATTAAAAAACATGCTCGCTATGTTATTCAAATTCAATATACTGGAAATGATAATGTGCAAAACTTTGCAAACAGGGACACAATGTAAACTATTACCATTTTGCCAACAGTATTGCCGCGGTGGAGAATGCGTGGAACGCTCCGGGACCTTCATCAAACGAGGAACATGGGGAAGATGGTCTGGCTGGTCAGAATGTGCTTCGGCGTGCCTAGTGGATGACAGCTTGGCTCCCGCAGCTTCCGGCGTTGCTCTTGCTACAAGACGGTGCAATAGACCACGGCAAGAAAAATATTTCCATTTGAAAGCACAAAGGACAAAACATAAATCTTTGCATAAATTATGCCTCCATTTAAAAACCAGGAAACGAATGTATATGATTACTTACTACATAAACGAAACTGTAACGAATGGTGACGATCTCGGACGCAGAGATTAGCAGTTAGCAATATAGGCGTTAGACGACGACTTCGATTACTTTAACACCAATTTAATCATCAAATGTCTAAGTTTTCTGGGTAATACCTCTGGATGTAGTTTCATTACTCTGGCCTTTTTCTTGAGGTGATATCTCCTACCGGAGGTCGGCGATCGTCTGCACGGAACACGGATCTTGAGAACCATATCCGGAGATTCATAAGCCACGAAGTACGCCTTCTTTCAGGTGGTCGTTTCCCCTGTATCTTTCCTTGCATAATTAGTCGTTACGGTCATTACGGTCGTATTTATCGTTACTCTGGTATTCAATAGAAAATTCCTTAATGTGAGACCAGGTAATCGGAATGAATATCGGGCATACTATAATTTACTGTGACAAGAATTGAGCTGTTCCAGAAATAAAATTTATAATTTGTTGTCTATTTTTCAGACAAAATAATGGAAACAACTACTGCTCCGGCCACGACAAAAAGTACCAGTCCTGTCATGCACAACAGGTAAAATAAATTGAGGAGGTTGGGTGATATGCTAAGTTTCAAGCTATTCAATGTCGAATAATTTGCAGTGCAACAACGTACATCGAATGACTGTCAGAGAGTTCGCTGATCAAATCTGTTTGAGAGCTAGAGAAGTTGACCCTGACTTGATTGGAACAGGACTGCAGAGGATCGATTCTGATGGTAAGTCTATTCTTACCAAATTAATAAGACTGAAAGATTATCTGAAATAAATACAATATTTTGTATAATTTTTTTTTTCAGATGTAAGCAGCGCATGTGCTGTATGGTGTGATACAAGAGGAGGTGGTTACAAATCTCGTGGTTGGAGTTTACCTGATGGAACATCCTGTTCGAGGATGTCGCCCATGTTCTGCATTGCCGGAGTTTGCCGGGTAAAATTGAATATACCGTGGTATTAAAACTCTTTTACGCAGAAATTAGAACTTGTTATCAAAACGAGTTCTTAGGTTTTCGCGATTATTACACATAGGAAATGATACTATTTTTCCGGATTTAAATCGCGTATATTTGTTTTTTCAAACAAACCGACGTTTCGGGCCCTTTACAGGTCCCATGGTCACGGGTGACTGAGGTGGTACAGTCTTCAACCAGTTATATCTAATATTATTTCTTCCTATTTCTTCAGAAATTCGCCTGCGCCACTACAGTGGACAATGAGTTCTCCCTGAGACCCGGTGACTGTGAATGGGAAGCGTTGCAGTTGCAAGCAGCAACACCACAAAGTACTTCGTAAGTATAAACAGAAAACCATCCACATCATAATGACCAGCTGGAACACGAAACCGTTGGCTGTCAGTCAGACCAGACGCCATGCAAGAACTTGTCAATAACAAAGGTCACAATCCTATTGCTGAAGTTAGACAAAGCTAATAAAATGCTACAATATCACGTTTACGGTTGTAGATAGGGTTCCCTGTCATTGTTATTACAAGGTCTATCGCTTAACTGAGTCGGGTCCTGAGGCAGCTGCGCGGTGCGGGAGGGGTGACTGTTTACGTAACAGTTATGTCGCGCTGCACACGGAATAATTTCAACAAGATTTTTCTGACGATATTCAATAACAAGTTGATTGAAAGAAAGTGCCAAATGGCTTGGCTATTCATTTCAATGAAATAATCTTTTTATTATTATCGTGTCACATAACAACAATTAACTAATTTTGTAGGCACTTTTTTCATTTACTTGCTATTGAATATCGTCAGAAAAATCTCGTTGAAATTATCCCGCGTGCAGCGCGACATAGCTGTTACGTAAACTGTCACTCCTGCACCACGCAGCTACCTCATGAACGGACTTAGTTAAACGGTAGGCCTCGTCGGTCCACATTTCACCACCTAATTGGAACTGTAGAAGTCTGATGATCGTAGCTAAGAATATCGTTACAGAGTCAAAACCTCCGGTACGTGGCGCCGAGCAGTTGGTTCTCAATGGCGAGCAGCGAGCGGCTGCCACTACCACTGCATTGCACCAGGGACAGGCATCAGACTTGTTAAGGGTCAGACTAAGAAATCGACGAGCATACAGCTGTGTACTCCTGACTCTAGTCGACCAGATTTGGTAAGACTCTAAGATGAAACATGACAATTCACATAACTGTACGAAGCGTAAATTTCAATTAGTTACGTTCATAACTGTCGAAAGTTTTCTATTAGTATTAATCATGGATCAATAACTATAGATCGTAACTCTGATAGTCTCAGTACTAAAAAAATCCACCTCAAAAGTTCGTGGAATTACGTTTATTTGACAAGTTTTATTGAAATCGGTAAGTGCGCGAAACCGGATGCATCCCTTAGTTTGCCACCCTCTTTCCAATGAAAGAAGAACCATCAAAATCGGTTCACAAATGCCAGGAGTTATGCGTAACATACATACAAAAAAAATCTGTCGAATTGAGATCCTCCTCTTTTTTTTTAATAAGTCAACATTCCGTCTTATATCTAGATGGCGCCTGGAAGTATATCAATTAATTCTTCTTTAATATGAAATATAAGCTGTTACTTTTGTTTACCTTTTAACCGCTCACGCGATGCGCTCATCCTACCGCAAAATGGCGGCTATTTGGTTTCGCAAATTAAAAAAGGATTCAGTTTAAATACAAGTTTTTATAAATAAAAATTATTATTCTGCATTGCTAAATAAATACCCTCCGTATTACCAATAAAAACATCTCAAGTAAAATGCAGTAATATACCGCAAATCCTGCACTTAAAAAGCACTAATGAAATTTTTGGTGTACTTGGATAAATATGATAATATTCCGTTTGAGTGGTTCTAACGTTTACCATGAAATTACTCCTTAAAGTATAGTTTATAAATATTTATATTCAGGGTAAACTTAAAAAACGCTGCTTACGGTATGTTTTCAATAAATAAACACCAAAATCACCAGCCCAAACAATAACACACACGATTGTCGTGACGTATTTTTGAAGTTGTTTATTTTTTTAAATGACAGACCCAGGCATTAAAAACTTTATGGTTTGCTAGAGTAGTTACCGAAATAGCAATTAATATTAGTTCTTTTACCTATTATAACTTCGATATCCGATAAATCGGTATAAAATCATCACCGGCACCTCTAGGTGTGGTATGCGTCTACGGCTGCATGTATCGCGTGAGCGGTTAATAATTGGACAAATATATAGATCATCAAAAAAAATATTTTCTGAATTTAGACAAATATGCGTGTCAATAGATGGCAATGTGTGTTACAAACTAATTTATAAATAAACACTTCCTAATATGGGTAAGTGACGCTAATCCTAAAATCAATAAAACAATAGCTGGCAATATCCATAAAATCTGTGCAATGGGCGATTATTAGCGCCATCTAGTTGATTAGTTTGTTATCACAAGAAGTTAGAGTAGCTTTGATTCCAGCTTGTCAAAAACAAATTAGTTACAAAAATAGCCAATTGGTACTCGTCACGACATCTGGTGTGCCAATAGGTACTAAATACCCGACTACGCGGTTTTCTATCGCTAATAGAAGTCCTTTTCAGTTATCCTTGATGTTAACTCTTGGAGTATATTATAACCAGAAATAGAGACGAAATAAGGGCCACAAATTTCTGGTAACTCATCAGTGACACATCACTTAAAATTATCAACACTCGTTTGTACTGAAATATAGACAGCGCCGACAACTGACCTGTGTGTACGTCTCCGTATATTCTAAAAATATTCTGTATTTATTGTAATAAAGATAATATCTCTAACAATGGCGTGTGATGTGGGGAAAACAGCAAAACATCCAATTACAAAACAAATGGAATCAAATTTCATCGGTAACTAAATATGTAATTTTGCAAAGTCGATTTGAAGTGAAAGAATTGACGACAGTCAATTGTTTCTAATTCGGGCTGACGAATATTAACTGAACCTTTCTTTTTAAAATTTTCTAAAATTTACGAATCTTACGTGACGTTACGTGGTACTCCTGTCATTCCATTCATACTTTATTGAGTTCCTGGGTTTTACTTTATTGTCACACATAGGAAATGAGACTATTTTTCGGATTTAAATCATGTATATTTGTTTTTTCAAATAAGCGAGTCGCCCGTGACCGTAAGACCTCTAAAAGGCCCAAAAGGTTGGTTTGTTTGAAAAACAGTTTCAGCAGTTGAACTTCTTGTGAAAGAGTTCGTCTAGGGAAGTACTGCTCTGCGTTGCGGTTTTGAAGGGTAAGGGTGCTGGTGAAATTACAGGCACATGGGACTTGTCAACTTATGTCTCAGTGCCCCTTATATCTTTGCGATTTACGTACGACTTGTTCGTCCCGTCACCTGACATTATAATAAAGGAAATTAAAAAAACAAATAACTAAATCTGAAAAATTGTTTCATTTCCTTCACTTTACTACGTAAAAGTGATAATATTTACCACTAGTACACTTTATAACTTGTCATTATATCATAAAGACGTCAACTTTACGTAGAACATATCACATTTTCAGGGCTGCACCCAAAGGAAGTCACCATACCAATACGCAACGATGGTTTGCACTAAATACAAGGAGAGAGTCAGAAGACTGTCTGGTTTGGGGATGCAGATCTCACCTGCTGTAGGTAAGATGGCAAAAAAGAAACTTCGAAATCAAAAAACTATATCAACGAGAAGGGATGTATACAAATACTTAAGTAGGATGTGTCAACTTTTGGGAATAAAAAGATTCGCCAAAAAAAATGCATCGAATTATTTCATTTTATCCTATGTCGGCCCTTTTTTTTTTTTGACGGGTGGGAAATCTTTAAGGATACCCCTGAGCCCAGGGAGACTCAGGGGTTATGTGGGGACTCTCCCTCCAGACTGGAGGGCCTACCCCACTAAAACCCTTCCCGGTTTCCCTCTCGCCGGTTGAGTCGGCGCCGTGGGATCGGTGAACATTCACCACGACGCCGCCCGGCCGCCCTAGCTTACGCCAGGGCTCCCGCGCCAACGGAGGGGCGAGTCGGTTGTCCTCCGACCCGCCCCCCAGACGAGTGAGGCCGTGCAATGCAGGCTCCGGAGTCCCTGTCCAGAGCCCGCTGGTCTCACTAGGGGATCAGGCAAGCAGCGAACTGCCTTCGCCTTCTCCCCGTACGTCTGCGCCGGAGCGGGTGCGCGTCCGCCGCGTCCTCGCGCACCCGCTCCGCGGCCTCCCAGGACTCCTCGCTATCGAGCATGGCGGCAACCACGCTCGGCAGCGAGAGGTCCTGCCCTACAGTCCCCGTCAGAGTGCGGCGCTGCTCATCCCACCGGCTGCACACCTCTAGGGTGTGCTGCGCGGTGTCATCCGCAGCGCCGCACTCGTGGCACGACGGGGACGGTTCCCTCCTCGCCACCTTGTGCAGGTAGTGACCGAAACACCCGTGTCCAGTCAGCACCTGCACAAGGTGGTACGACAGTGGCCCGTGGGACCGGTTTACCCACTCTACGAGGACAGGGCGGATCGCCCCTATGGTACGAGCGCCATAGGGGGGATCCGCCAAGCCCTCTTTCCACCGGTCCCGCATGCGCTGCGCCGCGAGGCGGCGCTCCCGCTCGACCTCTTGGGGAGCAGGGCGCTTGCCTCGGGCCCTCATTCCCCGCCGGTAGGCGTGGACCTCCGCCAGGACCTCGGCTTCGAGGTCCCACGGCGGAGTACCGGCGAGATCCTATGTCAACCCTAGGGTAACCTATGACAAAAACGAATTTTTTTTCCGAAATAACGTTTGTTCGAATTTTTATTACACCGAAAAGCCGAATTAAAACGAAACCGTTATTCTTTCAGGATATATTGGATGATTATCGCAAAGACAGAATTAGGTTCGGTTAGGTTAGGTTAGGTTTAAAAGAAAAAACATTTTTCTCTCAAAATTACTTTCGAGGTTATGAAAATTCGAGCTAACGTTATTTCTGGAAAATGTCATTTCGGACTACTAATAGGTAACCAAATTCACATGCAAGTGTTTAATGCAATGGCTTATAGCTTGAATTATCGATTTACTCAAGCTGCATTTCGCTATCTGTGAATTTTCCACCTTCAAACACTAGTAGTAACACCAACTCTTGCAAAGTCTTTATACACATAGACATAAGAGCCTATGCACACGGCGTGTTTTTTACGCAGACGACGTGCGTTCGTTTCACCTGATTATGCGCTATCCCGCAAATACCGCGGGATCCCGCTCAGTTTAGGTGCGGGATCAATCCCGCAAAATTGGTGCGGGAGCATTCTCGACCATGCGCGACAATTCCGCGGAAAACGCGTGACGTGATTTTTGGCTCGTATCTAGTTTGTACGTGACACTATTGATCATATGGTTCATTACGCTATGTACAATATCGTTAAATACAGTCAAATTGAGAGCCTCCTCCATTTTTCAAGGCGGTTAAAAATTCCCTTCCATTCCATCCATTGCTGTACCTTTATTAACTAAATTAAGATTGCACTAGTTCAGTTTTTAACACGACACTTTGTAATTTTTCAGAGGACCCAGATCGTCCATGCCGAATAGCATGCCAAGATGAGAGAGTGTCGCATCGATTTTACTTGGTGAATGGCCAGGAGGGTTGGTTCCCGCTAGGAACTTCTTGTGGGAAGAAGAATTCTTCGTACTGCGTTAGTGGAAAATGTTTGGTAAGTGAAGTAACATTGTTACAGACTTTTTTTTATACGATATCAAGTGACGAGTCGAATAAGTTGCAGAGCTCTCAGAGCTCAGAGAGCACCTATCATCCTGAGACTCAGAATTGACAAATGCCATGTGCTGTGTAATCAAAACACCTAACTTTCAAAACATGCTTGCGGCAGAAAAAGTATGGTGACATTATTTCCCTGGACGACCTCTTTGATAATCTATACTGCTGTTAAATGTTCAGGAAATGGTATGAGTTTTCAACTGAAAGAGCTTTGAAGGGGTTGATTCACCTTTTTTTTTTTTTTTGACGGGGGGGAAATCTTTATGGATACCCCTGAGCCCAGGGAGACTCAGGAGTTATGTGGGGACTCTCCCTCCAGACTGGAGGGCCTACCCCACTAAAACCCCCCCGGGTTTCCCTCTCGCCGGTTGAGTCGGCGCCGTGGGATCAGTGAACATTCACCACGACGCCGCCCGGGGGTTGATTCACCTGCCAATTGGTACAACTTTTACTCGTGCAGAAAGTGTGAATAGTACATTTTATACTTCTTATTTAGCATGACATATCTCAAATTTTTATATTCAATACTTCATTTTTTTTATCCCAGTGTCTCCACCTACAGTTTTAAATATGTACTAAAGTTAATTTCTATGAACTAACTAACTACTAACCCTTTACAGGAATTCGGTCCGGATAGCACTCCCTTATCAGAGATGGTGTTCACGCTCCCACTGCTAACTCGTAATAATTCTTCTCGCATCACGCGGCGTTCTTCGCGTCACCGCCGCAGCCTGCTTCGTGACCGTATGACAGTGAAGGCCACGTTGGACCAGACGCATTTGGCAGATATTATAAATAGACTCAATTTAACAGGTGCTTACATTATAACATTTGAAATATATCTGTTTCTGAAATTTTTACCTTTTACAAATACATATAAAGAATGGTTTAAGTAAAATCAGTCTACAACTTTATCAGCATCTCAAAAATTGAAGTAATTTAATTTTTTTTTAATATAAGTATTTTTTATGACGGAATAAAAAAGTCGTGCGCCTGATGCGACTCGCAAAGGCGCTACACTACAGAAATAATCTGAGATCACCCTGAGACACAAAGTTGACAAGACCCATGTATTTGTAGTTTGACCAGCGCCTTAACCCTTCAAAACCGGAACGCAGTATTCCGGTTTTTAAGGGTAAATGTGCTGGTGGTGGTGCTCATTATTATTGCTTGGCAGCTAGAAACAGGTACGGTGACAGTTCTTCCACTGGACAAACCGTAAAGATTTTAAAGAATTGTCTTGGTAATGTATTTTTCATGTCATTATATCGGGAGATGAACGGGGCTAAACCGTCTTAGTAAGCATTAAAAATTTTTTGCTTAACATGAGACATTGTGGACATAAATATATTTTATTAATCTCAACAAAGGTCTTTATAATCAGGTACATAATATTATTTTGCAGCAACCACCAACGATCATATAATCTACTACGACACCATTCCGGAACATATCGAGTTGGACTTCAATAATCCCATACACATTGCACCAGAAGACACCATGATTAGGAAGGTTCCACGACCTACCTGGGACTGATTCGACGAACTACAAACTAAAAAAACATACTTATTCACATTTAACGTTTGAAACGTTCTGAGAGCGGATTTAAAATGTATTCTTCATCGAAACTGAAATTTCTCTGAAAACAATTGAAAATGAACTTTAAAACTTTCATAGATTTCTCACAGATGGCGCTGCCGCAAAAAGACGTTAAAAACCAAAAACAAAGATCTGCAACAAACACTTAGAAAAATTCGAAGGTTTACTGGTTCGTTCCGTAGCTTAGTTGGAAGAGCGTCAGACACGGTATACTGAAGACGCTGGTTCGAATCCAGCCGAATCGAAGGAATTTTTCTTAGTGTACGAACTTTGTATTAATAATTATAACAGACTAGTAATTAAATAAATTATGGACTAATTTAATAACATAAAAATTGAATATCATAAGTGATAATATGATATTCAATAATGAACCTTAAAGTCATGGAATAAATTCCATGTTATAATCATTTCCCGTTTTTATCGTTTCAAATCTACGAATTTCAACTAGTATTGTCTATAGAAATTTGAAAATTGACAATCGTTGAAATAATACTTATTTTTTAATTAATTAATAGATTTAGGTGCTACTTTACGGAAGTCCAAATAATAAAATAACCGACCTCAAAAGTACGTGGCATTACGTCTATTTGCTAAGTTTTATTGAAATATCCATTCGCCACTATCCAGGACTTGACACTGGAGATAATAAAAAATCGGTTCTCACTACTCAAAGAATATTGAGAGAAAAACGCCTTGAATTGGAGAAATAGCAAAATCAACCATTAAAATAATTCCTCCTTAAGAAAATTTAGGCGCTATTTATAAAAATAAATCTTCATGCGTGAACAGTCACCTTAGAGGTGGATGATTTCCTTCAAAATGAAATGGGACCACTATGGAAGTACCCCCTTTCCAACAAAAAAAAAATCATGAAAATCGGTTCACAAATACCGGAGTTATCGCCTGACTTACATACAAAAAAAACATACAGTCGAATTGAGAACCTCCTCCTTGTTTGAAGTCGGTTAAAATGGACGTAAAAGAATGATTTCATGAATTAATGATTTCTTCAGTCGAGTGACGAACAATCAACAAGCCTCGTAGAGAAGAAACACGTGTCGGGTATATCATTTGGTGGTGGTACTGTGACTGTAGTTGCACTTGTGTTATTTATTTTATAAATTTTGTGCAGAAGAATGGGATATTAACTGCGTGAAAATAATATTCAACACAAGCGCAGCTATTTTGCACGTTTTATCGTCCGGGCGGAGAAACGGAGAGAGAGTAAATAATTTCTTATAAAAACATATATGAGAAAAATCCATGTGGCGCATCTCAAAAAACGCGACACAACTTACAAAACGACGCTCGTCTGGCCTCCCCTTAATTCCAAATTAATAATTTTAAATTATGACGTAATATAAATTACTAAGTTACTACTGATTGATACATTACTGTTGTATTTTTGCGAATTTAAGCCATGTTTTAATTACTTCAAAAATTCCATAGGGTTTTATTCCAACTATCTACACAAATGGTATCAAAATCAATGTTATAGTGGTATAATCAAATCAGTAGCCCGAGAATTCGGTTAATGATATTAATTGCTTTCCCTTCCTGCGTACGCGCAGGTTGCAACCTTGTTTGAGAAACGTGGATCGGTGATAATTTTTGAGAACGGGAGTGTCGAGACCGCCATATTGGAAAATGGATGGAAATATTATTTATCCATAAACTAACGTACACAATCCAACTGAAATATACATATATGGACCTGTCATATTGGCGCTTTGTAAAGTAAAAGAAAACTAGAAGAGGGATCCTCGGAAGAAGCGTACTTGGAGTTCCATTGCGAAATCGAATTGAAAAGAGGAGATAAGTAAAAAAACCAGAGTAACCGATATATAGCCCAAAGAATTAGATACGCACTAAGACATGAAAACCAGTTACGCGGTTAACCGAAAAAACCAAATAACTAAAAAGTAAGTAAAAAAAAGGAAAATCCGGATTTTTCGGTTTTGTTCTAAATCTATGAAATAGTGGTTTATGCGACTGTTACATAATGAAAGGCATTAAAATACGAGTGAAGGTTTATAAAACGAGCCGACGACAGCCGAGTTTCATAAAAACATCTCACGAGTGTTTTAATGCCTAATTATGTACAGTTACATACATTGCCTTATCTACACACATATTATAAGCTCTCTGTGATGTATTCAGGAACCGCATGTTACGACTGGCGAAAAGGCGGCAAATAAAAATTTTTCTCACGCATGTCACACAACCGTAGTTTTTATTTTTAATTCATAGACAAACTAAAATCGGCCCCAACTACCATATCGTTCAATATCAAGTAACGTGTGAAATTGTCAAAATTGTTTGCTATTGATATTTCATTCGAATAAAACTTCATCTCGACTGACATTAGAATTGAGGGCCAATCAAATTGTTTTGTTTTTCAGAGATGTTCGAAATTTTAATGTAATAACATCGAATTCGATAATAACATTTACGATAAGAAATTTGTTCTAACAAAACAGTTTACCTTTATGCTGGTTGCGATTTTTGAACACATTATAGAGAGTTTATGATATGTGTAGATAAAAAATGTTATTAAATATTGTCACAATTTCAATATAATCTTAGTCAATCAATGACCAGTGGTTAAGAAAATTAACAGGCTTAGGGCCCAAATGACAAGTACGAGAAAACGCAGGTTAAGTTTTTGTCATCTGAACTTACGCTTGTGGGATTTCGTCGTGCATAGTACAAGCCCGCGTATGTAGCATTGCAAATTTTACAGGAGAGGGATCATTTTTGCATAGTAGCATTAATTTATATTGTCTACGGACTGATAACAATACTACACTACTATATGTAAATCTACGTAATATATGTAATATGGTTGCCATGAAATTTACGCGGATTTGACAACTAAATTACCGAAATGGAAACTCATAATCCAATGCTAGGTACGCGTAATTGCACTATCCCCAACGATTTGTATCTATCAATTTTTTCTGCTGACGTTATTATGCAATTGACCTGATGCAAATTAATTTCCTTGCAACACGATTGACATTCGCGTAGGGTTGACATTAGCCTTGGGTATGACACTGTAGTGGATTGTGAAACTGTTTTTTTTTGTTAATTGTACTTAGTAATGTTATTAAGTTTGTTTGTTTCTGAAACTTATTTTCTTTGTCAGCATTGTACTTTTAAAAAAGTACACTAGCGATTATGCTTCATTTGAAAATTTTATATTTTTGTAGTAAGCTATGGACGATGTGATTAATTTTACAATTAGCTAAACTGATATTCTTATTCTGTATAACTCATCATGTATACAATTGTTTGTCATTCCTCATTAAATAAAATAAAAGTAATACAATTTATGTTTGTCAAACATTTTATTAATTCATTTAGTGATTATACTCTACTACTCCTAACAAAGGGATTATCAAAACTGCGCGAGTGTTGAACGTGTTTTACTTTCAACCTAATTTTTAACTGCCTCTATTTTTTAAGTTAGTGAAACTATTATATTTTTGTAAAATGTTCAGGGTATCCCCTTTATAGTCAATGCAATGTTTAAGTACAGGCCGAATGTCTTGACCAGTGTGACCATAAGATGTGTACAAATAACGCTTAACTAATTAACTAACTTTTTTATTAAATTAACTAATTAACTTACCTTATTTTTGTAACTACAGCATTATGAACTTTACATCAAATTGTGCATTTTTTCAATTCAATCGTAACTTATCGTAGTGCGATAATAGAGTGGTAACCATGAGTAAAACAATAGCTATTTAAAACATTTTTTTTTATTATGATGAAAATAAATGTTTACTTTAAAAAAAAAGTATTTGTCTAATATATAAGCGTAGGTCGCATATACGTGTGCTTTTCTACCTAATTTTACTATTTCCCGTGCTTTTTTAAAGTATAGAAGCTCTTGCTAAAATATACTTTCTCTTATTTTAAATATGAAGTCAAATCCGAGATTTGTACTTGTAAGTTTTATTTCTTGATGCCCGTTTCTTTTACATTTAACTTCTAAATATAATAAAAGTTAATTTAAATGTTATATTACCACTCCTCAATGGCTCGTATCTAGTTTGTGCGTTACACAATTGACTTAAGGTTCATTGTGCTGTAGTAATGCGGCAATGTAAATGATGATCACCAGTGATCGGAATTGAGAGAGTTAATTTACCTAAAGTATGAACGTTTTCTTAGTATGGACATACCCATTTTGTCATCAAGGCGTAATTTTTTTTTTATTATTACTGTTCATTTTCTAAACAGTCCAAAATATACGTTGTCTATTGTTTATTTTTTAAATGGTTAAAGTGTTTAAACACGTAAGTACATATAGAAACACAACTACAACATTATTTTTTGAGACAATTTGTAGCAAATACTTAATAGGAAATAATAATTTGTCGCCAATGTTTCTCTAATTTCAATAAATAATACCTACGCATATTCAAATATAATAAATCCCGAGAAGTCCCGTGGTTTATAGAAAGAATGTCCACATAAGGCTGCTAACAGATTGACAGCATGTTTGCAGTTAATGCGGGAAGTCGTAATCAACTTCACGCATCCATGCAGTTATTGCGTGAAGTCGTTATCAACTTCATGCAGTCGAGGTCTCGGCTGCTTTAAGTTGATTACGACGCATTAACTACAAACATGCAGTCAATCTGTCAGCAGCCTTATTCTTTAGTCTAGTTAAATTAACTCATACCACTCCATTAAAATAACTAAATTATCGAAAATAGCGACTCGGTATTCACCGAGTTGAAAAAATAACGGAAAAACATAACTAATATTTATGTACAATCCACCAGCTAAGTTTCTTGCAAGTATGAATGAATAAAATTGTTAATCGATTAACGTACTTCGCACTCGCCTCATGTTCACAGAGGTCAAAATAATTCGGTGCTATAAACAATTAATGGTGCTGACTGTACAATCGTTGTGATCAACTTAGTATTTATTATAGACCAATTTATATCATGTTGTTAGGTTAAGTAGTTATTTAATAAAAAACCTATTTTTTGTATTTGTTGTTTTATTATTATCAACGTCCATAGCTCGACTTCACCCACTGCTGGGTATAGAACTTCCGTAATAACGACTTTCCATTACGATTTTACGTTAGTATCCACATATTATTATTATAATGTAAATATTGGGTCAGGTTTAACTGCCTCTGTGGCCGAAAGATTCGCATGCTGGACTGCCACGCAGAGGTCTCGCGTCCGATTCCTAGGCGGGTGAAATATTTGTAAGGCATAAGTTTATTTCTCTCGTGAGTTTGGGTGTAATATGTGGTTGTCTGTGTGTGTCCATGGCACCCGCGATACAGGGTTTCCCTAGTGCAGGGCTTTGAGTATGCGCGCGTTTTTATGCGCGTGTTATTAGTCTAAAGTAATACAGTAAATTGAAAAGAAATCAAATTTAAATTAATTTTGTATTTGCTTAAAAGGTTGTTCGTTAAATGCTCTAAACGCGGAAGGCTTTGCTAAACAACTTACTATCAAATACATGGGGCCTACCACAACCTCTTCAAACAATATTATTTTAACCTTACATTGACTTTTCATACTATGGCGCGCTTAAAGTAAGCTTATTATAATGTTAAAACTATGATGTTTTATTGTTCTTGTGTCAAATTTAGCAATCTTAAAATATTTACACGGACGCAATGGAAACAATGTTATTTTCAGTTTTATTGTCTTAATATTGATTTGTAATGATTAAAAGTTAAGTTGAACTTATTTATTTACATATCTCTTCAATATTTTGTTTATTTTTATTGAATTGGAAATTATTTCTCTAAACAAAAATACCCGATGTTTATTTCGTAAAATTATGAGTTTTTCTTTTGCTTGTTTACATAGTTCATTATTACTAGGCAGATTTATAAGTTTAGAGAAGAGGACAGTAATCTATTTTCATACTTACTTTGCAGGCCTTGGCCTGGAAGAAGTAGCTTGGTCCATAAATGACAAACCTTCCATGTTCGTTTTTTGAAAGTAATGCAAACATTTCCGAGAATGTTTGAGAAAATGTCACTTTACTCCGTCTTCAAAAAAGTCAGACCATAGTATCTTACAAATAACCCTGTATATGTATGTAATAAGGTCGCTACACCATTCCAAAAAATAAAACTTCTTCCCTTCTTGAGTGTACTTATATTTATAACATATCATATTATTTAAATTGAGTAAAACATCGGGTTTATTTATTAATTAAAAGCATATTATGTTAACATTATTCTTATTGTTTGTTTAAATACACCTAACACTAAGTCATTGGCATTCCTCTCATGGCAGTAAGTAATCTGGCTTCATCGGTGAGGAACCACTGCCACAGCTTGCGTAAATTGTGTTTGTCGGCGTTCTGGAAAATTTTCAAAAATGTATGTTATTGCAAACTATATAGAGTAATTCAAAATACGTAACATTTTAAAAATGACCGCCAAGTCATTTATCGGCGGGATGAGGTGATCGACACTATGTCAAAGTAAATTAATCTTTATATCATAGGTAAGTAAATTACATTTTAAATCGTCACACTGATTAAACTCTGCTGCTCACTCGTAAGCCAGGTTCCCCTGAGAAGAATGAGCAAGAAACTCTAGGGGTTGCTCTTTATAAACATACATTTGAATACGTTTATCATTACAATATTTCATTTAAGCATTTCGACGTGTCCCAACACAAACGTATCCGTCAGACGTAACTTTGCAATGTTAACTTATGAAAATAAACATTAATAATTAGTGAATTAACTCCAACTGTGATGGAGTTAATTCTCTGATTAGTTTGTATTTCAATTAGAATAGAAATGAATTATTTCGTATAAAGGCACAGTACACACATTGCAATACATAATACATTGCCACAACTATATAAGACTTTAAATCAAATGGAAAGCACAACGCAACATAACAGGCAGCATGTGCGCTATGTTGTTGAATCCGTCAACCTTATTGTCGCCTCACTGACAGAACTACGAAGGTATTTTTTACATCTAGGCACTTTAATCTCTTTACACCTAAGCCCAAAATTATATGAACGCGTATCTGTCCCATTTACGTCGTTTAAATTTTGTCGATCGACATTTTTTTGCGTGCGCCCGACGTTAAGCGACACGCCTATCCATAACAGTTGCAGTATCATTCAGAGCTTTAAATCGCAAAGATCTTATGGCCACTGCCACTGCGCCCGTCACCCTGAGACAATAAGTTAAAAAGTTCAATGTGCCTGTAATTTCACCAGCTCCCTTACCCTACAAAACCAGAATGCAGTAATGCTGACGTTACTGCTCGGCGGCAGAAATAAGTAAGGTAGCAGTACTTCCCTGGACGAACTCTTTCACAAGGAGACCTACTGCTAATAATCAAGCTAAATTTTACGGATTTCGATGTCATGCTAAACGGTTTCATAGGAGCTTCCTCACGTACTCTTAGGTTGTGGAATGAACTCACTGTCGGGGTTTTCCCGCAGCATGGAGTCCTTCGAAAGGGGCTTGAGAGGGGACCTAAAGGGTTGGCAATGCACTCGTGATTCTCGAGACTCGTGTTGTTGCAGGCGTACATAGGCTAGGGTGACCGCTTTTCATCAGGCGGGACGTATGCTTGTTTTAAATATGTATAAAAAAGGAATGAAATGTATCAGGATAATAATAAAGAACACTACCTTAGTAGTAGTTAACAGTCCCCCGACAGCCAAAACTCGCTTTTCAACAGTGTCCATCTCTGTTTGCAGTGTGTGCATCAAGGTTGCGACAGTTCTGTCGCGGCAGTTAGGCTGCTTGGTGCAGCCGTCGAAAATGTAGGACTGTAGAGGTTGTAGGGATGATTTCCTAAAGAAAATAATTTGTAATTAGGCCTTTATTTACAGTCAAAAGAAGGTCGTTATTATTATTGATAGAAAAATCGAACACAAAGGAAAATTCCTTCGGACAAGCTGGACACAAAGCAGCGACTGAGCCGTAGCTGACGATCTCCCAACTGAGCTACGGAACAAACCAGCATAAAGAAAAGTTATATATTATTAATTAATAATAGAGGTAACCCGAAACGGAGCGAACATTAAAAATGTAATTTCTTTTAAATATCGCGGTCATTACATTACCGTTGACTTTAAAGACAATGCCGACAATAAGAGCATAGGGCTCTAGCGGTAAGAGATAATACGTTGATCCGTAGGTTTTACGGGCGTTCGGAAGAAGTGAAAATTACGCTTTTCAAAGCTTACTGTCAAAGTTTCTATACTGGGAACCTATGGGTCAATTATTATTAGAATAATGTTGGAACTGCTTCGTTTCTGCAGTGCATCGGGGATGTTTTCAGAATATAAGACGGATAGTTTTGCTGCCATCCTCCGGAAAAACACAGCATCCCTGATGCACAGAGTGCGGGACAGCCCCAACAGCATCCTACAAACTGCAGCTGATAGGATTACATCTCCCATGGGACAGTGCTTCGTGAGGAAGTTGAATTGATTTATTATAAAATACCTACTAACACTAATTTATAAGCTTTTTCCCTATTATTATTACTAACAGACTACGGAACTAGTTGTCTGTAGTAAAATATTTTAAATTTAATATAAAATTAATATTACAACATAAAGAAAAATTCCTTTAATCTGACTGAACAGGAATTAGCATCTGTGGTGTCATGGCAATGAAAACGTTATGGTTTTCAATAAAATAAGTAGAAGAAGATGATGCCTTTATCTAGAATAAATCTCAAACTGTTTTAGATCGTTGAACATCATAAATGTAATTGAAATAACATGCTAAAGACTGTATTCAGTGTTGGTTTTTGTAATAGGTGTACATGCAGAAATTTCCCTACTTTTCGGTAAAACAATGACATAATCGTGGCAACATAATACTCTGTATAAAGTTAGGTTTCTTTTTATAATATCAAGTGACGGGATGAGCAAGTCGTGCGCCAGACGATGTCTGCTACACGCCTGTCCATAACAGTTGTAGTGCCACTCAGAGCTTTAAATCGCAAAGATCTGAGGGGCACTGCCACTGCGCCCGTCACCCTGCGACATAAGTTGACAAGTCCCATGTGCCTGTAATTTCACCAGCACCTTTACCCTTCAAAACCGGAACACAGTAACGCTGACATTACTGCTTGGCGGTAGAAATAGGTAAGGTGGCAGTACTAAGCTGGACGAACTATTTCACAAGGAACTACCACTAAAAATAAACATATTATTGATAAATTTCGAACTCTGGTTAAGCCGTTATAGCCATTGCGTGACTTAAAACTACATCCAAAGTACATCTTGTTGTCTGGTTGATTGGACCATTTAATTTTTTTTAAATACTCACAATTCTCGTAATCGTTCTTCCTTCCTTCGATATCCCTCCTTAACATCGCCAAACAACGCCTGAACATTTATCACTAAATCGTTATACACTTTCACCAGTACGCCAGAATCAATATGAGTTGTCTCTAATATACTGGATAGTGCTTGCGTGAGTGCGTCTGACGATTGAAGCTTGAGTTCGCATTGCGTTTGTTCTGCGCATATTGAGTTCATAGAATCCTGAAAAATAGATTTTATATTATTCATACATCCCACTGCTGGGCACGGGTCTTCTCTCAGGCGACGGTTTGGGTCTCCTCTCACACGTTTTCCGAGGTTTGTGTACCTTCGACATGCAGGTTTCATCACGTTCTCCTACATTAAATTCCGAGAAACTCAGAGGTGCGAGCTCAGATACGAACCCGCGGCCTCTGCTAGAGAGTCGACACGTCAAACCGTTAGGCTACAACGGCTTTTTTATACCACGACGTAGTATGACATTTTCCTAGTAAACATAGAAATGAGACTCCAGTGAATGTTATAAATTATAAGATGCTTTGAATTATTGGGTGATATATCGTTTATTGTACCTACTCGTTCTATGAGATACTATCGCCCTATTGCAGTTCCCTTAGCGAGGACTAGAGATGCACCGAGTACTCGTTTGCTACTCGGTACTCGGTGTACTCGACCGAGGCCGTTCTTTTACTACTCGTACTCGGCCGAATAACTCTGTTCATGAGAAGAGTTACTCGGTTAAAATAAAGCATTACAGCTATAGACATAATACAGTAAAACCATTGACTTACAATTATATGGACGTCGGGTCCGCGCTAAAAAGTGTCCGCACTTGTAAGGCGCTAAAATCGTATACAGAGCGCGACACTCCGCTTTAGTCTTCATTTGTTCTACTGACAGCGCGATACTGCGATGACATTACAATTTAAATTTCGAATAGGTTCACTTGGGACATTTTTTTCGTGGTTTTTGTATTAGACCCGTCGTCCATTTATTTGTAAGTCAATGAGTAAAACCAACAATATATTTCAAATAATCAAAAGAGATTTATTACTACAAATGTAACAATTTGTAGCAATTTAGTAATTTAAAAAGAAAGTTTACATTATTAATGACAACTTATGATGTAGGAATACAAGGCTTTCTGCGCATTCAGGTAATAGTCTGTCCCGCGTTTCTTTCACATTATCCGCTTCGGAAAATAACCGCTCGCTATACACAGTGCTGGCAGGTGCACCCTTTGCAAAGGACTCACGCTAGCGCGACAACAAACTTTCATTGACATATCGGTCTAATTCTAGAGCAATGGGCCTTTTAGGATCGCATTCCGGTTTAATGAATCGAGTAACTCGGCCGAGTAGGCGGCTCGGCAAATGTTAAACCGAGTAATATGCGGTGCTCGGTTAGTCGGTAAAACTTGTACTCGCCGCCTCTCTAGCGACGACTAACTATAAACAAAATAGTTTTCTATGTAGAGCTAGCAAGAGCTTGGATAGTGTGCTGAGCAATCATGACCTGGAAGTTGATATATTCAATTGTAATAAATAAATAAATTAGCGCAGGTATTGGGTTGTTATATTTACGTAAGTGCATGTTGTTAAGAAATACTGCTTATTGTTCGTTTGTTTAATACTCGTGTATGATTTCTCCGAAGCTATAAGTTGAAACCTGTAATTGGCTTTATGTTTATGTTCCTGTATTTATTAAATGTGAGAAGCTGTTGGTTCTTTTCTAGTCAAAGACGTTATTCGTAATCGCCATTACGAATAAGCAACTAAGCTACAGGTCGAGTTACTAAGTCGACGAATTTCTTCTATGTGTCTGTTATAGAATAGATCGTTCCATTAAATTTTCGGCTTTCGACACAGTAGCGACTGTGCGAGAATTTATGAACCTTCTCACTGAGCCGGTAACTTTCCAGTTACCACAAGCTGACGTTGATGCCGCTTTTTATGAACATGTATTATTGATTTGTTTTTATTTTTTTGTGAAATAACTCCCGAATCCGTGATCGCAGGTTCGAATCCCGTCGGGTCGAGGGATTTTTTTCTTTGTGACCGATCTTTGTATTTAAACATTATAAATTTATTTCTTTGAAACTCACAATTCGACTCGCGACGGCTTCGTTTTGAATAACAACGTACTCCTTGAGCTGTGCTGCGAACTGTAATAGGTCCTCGACTGTACGTAGCTCGTGACGTAGGCCGTAGTACAGGATTCGGTCAAGGGCCAATGCTTGGTGACATATTTCCAGAAGATAGCTTAGGTCGGCGTGGACTTGTCTGTAAAATAATGTAAATAGAACATTATTATTATTGTTAACGAGTGAGAGAACAATTATAATATCAAGTGTAGTCGTCACAAAATAAGAGGCACCTTTTGACACTTGTCATCGCAACGTATATAGGGAGGGATGTGAACTAAACTAAACTAAACTAGTAGCTGACGCGATGAGTGACAGGAAAACAGTAAGTGAAGGAACAGCCCAGGGCTCCGTACTGGGCCCCCTACACTACCTGTCCTACGTAAATAATTTACCACATGTAATACAACAAAGCCAAATTTTCCAATTTGCTGACGATACTTGCCTAGTAGTGGCTCATCATGATCTGAAAGACGCCCTTCATAAAATGCAAACAGATTTCACTAATCTGGTGAAATGGTCCCACGATGCAGGCTTAGTACTAAATGCTGATAAGACCAAACTGATTTATGTAAGCTCGAGCCAAAATAGGAAAAACCAAGAATTAAAACTCATTGCGCATAAACATGATTGCTTGCACAGGGGAAATAGCTCAAGCATTTGCGACTGTCCAGATATTGAGCTAGTTAGTAGTCACACCTATTTAGGACTTATAATTGACGACCGAATGAAATGGACGGATCATATAAACAAGGTGTGTGACAGACTTAAAGCCTTGTTGTCCAAATTCTCTATAATCAAATATAAGATGCCTTTCTTGACCCTGCTCAATCTATATAAAGCACTTGGGGAATCGATCATTGGATACGGTTTAAGCAGTTACGGTTTAACTTCAAAGACTCATCTGGACAGGATCTATGAGCTACAGATACGGTTATTGAAAACTATTGTTCCTGATAAAGTTAAATATCAATTTATAAATAACAACGATGGTTTATTCAACTTTTGCAAAGTATTACCAGTTCATGAAAATGTCAAATATTGTATACTTGCTGAACAGTACTTTGTTAAGGATTGGCAGGTAATCTATAGCGGAGTCATAAGAACCCGTCGACAGCGCGAGGGTAGACTTGTAGTGCCGTCTTATACCAATCTCTACGGCAAAAATAAGCTGAATGTCAAAGTACCTTCCCTAATTAATGAGTTACCTAAACAACTAAAGGAGGAAATTAATGAAAGAAACATTAAGTACAAATTAAAGGAACACTTCTTAAATAAGAAAAAAAAAATTCAATGACACTACAGAAAGTCCAAACTTAAAATAAAACACGCTTTATCACACATCTTTCGATTCCACAAACTTACCTGACAACTAACGCACACTAAGACATTACACAAGTCACATTGCAACGACACTATCATTACGCAGGTCGCACGCATAGGATTAGTATATCATGATCGCACGTGACATCATACCATTCACTCACACAAACACAACATACATTCATCATTTTTCTTTTTGTTATTGTTAAAACCGCTTAGCGATTAATCGTCGCTATTTAGAAAAACTTACTTTAGTTTGTAAAATACTGTTAAGTTTAAGATTATGAATTAATAATGTAACAAGTTATCATAAATAAAAATAAATAAAATAAAAACATATCGGTAACCATATTGACGATTCTCACGAGAAATCGATTCGAAATCTTATGAGTCTATGATCGTTTAGATTATTTTTGGGGTTATTGGTTTAAAGTTTAATAAAACAATTAACATTTATTTAAGCGTTATAGATTTTAATATAAATAATAAGTAATTATTGAAAAAAATCATGAATTTACTAAATTTGATCATCTTTTGCTGTCCCGCTTCTTTTCATACAATACAATAAAATAATTCTTATAGGACACGGAGTCAATAAGCATTAAAAATAAATTAGTCAATTTTATTCATTTTGTACAAAACCAATTGATAAAATTTGACCAACGTGTGCTGTTCCGACGCTCAGCCTTACGAAGACAGTCCCAAGATAGTAAGAGAGGGACCGAATAAATCACTGACACTGGGACCAAAGTCAGACACACTGAGTGAAAGGTCCGACCGAATCCAATATGGACGCGCAATCCAACGAGGACAGCCACAAGATAGTAAGAGAGGGCCCGAAAAATCTACCGACACTGGATTCAAAGCGACACGAATCAAAAATATTCAAATATAGACAAAAACAGCGGCACACGTTCTTTCACCTCGAGCTTCAACAAGCCTTCAATGAAATGATCATTACATGTCAGTCAAACAGCACTAAAAAAAATTTGGTCACTTTTATTCATTTCATGGACAACTCACACTTGACCAATTGTAGTCAAAAGTTAATTAAATTATAATATAGTTTTACTACTTTATTTATATCACATTTGTGATCTGTTAACTTATTGTTACCTCTTACAGGAGGAAAACTAAAGCCTCTCTATGAATATATATGTATGGAAGAGTTTAATGTTAAAATTGTGGATATTAGTTTCATTTTTAAAAAGCTATTGATGTCAATTTATACATTAGGTACCTAACGTACGTTAAAGCTTTTCGATATGTCTTATATTTATGGAATAACCACCTGAGCACACTTAACGATTACATCCTGTATGTACTCATAAAAAATGTCTAGGGATCCAGTATGTATTTGCTAATTACTTATAATCAGGTTTTTTAATTATTTCTTTTAACACTAATAGATTTTTTGGTTAATTTCATTTTCAAATTATAAAATTAACCAGTAGTAATCCATCAATGGTAAAAAAATACTGATTTTATAACCACCAGTGGATTTTAACTGGTTTTCAGTAACTGGCAAAAACGTACTTGATCCCCATACACTTTTGATGTGTGTGTGTGTATATAATACGTAAAGCGTATCGAAATTTTGTCAAACTTACTGTCTGACAGTAAATGCAGATCTGGAGGCAGTATCCACAGCTAACTTTGTCCTCCAAGCGACGAGCTCCTTCACCGCGGTCTGCGTCTGCTGCTCCAGGATGGATTCTTCTTGAGCCAACAGGTCTAAAGCTGTTTGAGCCTCCATTGAGCATACGCTGGAAGAATGTAGGTTTGACAAGTTAATCAATATGATGAGTCAATTATTTGGCAGATTAAAAATGTTTTACCTAGAAAATGTTTATCAAGAATTGTTTTTAGTAAAAATAAACTGACCGTTCTTGACAATCGTCTTCACAAAGTCGCAAATTCATTTAAGGGCCAGTGCATACACTTTTTTATAAAAATATCACTCGTTGTTTAAAATTTGCTATTTACGAGGTTTAAAGCCACAGTGAAACAAAAACTTTGTATTAAAGATCATTATACAGCTAGTTGATTTTGGTCATACACGTGTGCAGAAGTGCAGTGCCACTCAGAGCTTTAATTCACAAAGATCTGCGCCCGACACCCTGAGACATAAGTTGACAAGTCCCATGTGCCTGTAATTTAACCAGCACCCTTACCCTTCGAAACCGGAACGCAGTAATGCTCACATTGCTGCTTGGCGGTAGGAATATGTAAGGTGGCAGTACTTTCCTGGACGAACTCCTTCACAAGGAGCTCTACTGCTACTAAATGAATAAATTGTAAATGATAAAAGTGTACAAATGTTATTAACAAAGAACAATCCCTCAAAGGAATCGCCTTACGAAAGAGTAGTTAGCAGTCTTAACATTATGTTGCATGTTTTCAATTAAAAACTACGACCAACCAAGATTTCATAGAGTTTAACATTATGATAGTGTGAATTTTAGCGGTTCTGATAGCAATCGTGGGTTAAGGCCCTTCCTTTTTTTCTTCTTGAGATCCAATCGCGCTCTCAAAGAATCACAGTGTGGTGCCGCTTCGGCAAACGGAGTTGAGCAGTGTGATTTGGTGTACCTGCGTGTGCGCCGGGCCCCGCCCCAGATGCACGTCAAGCAAGGACAAGAAACTTAAACTTTCGGTAACAATGCAGTATTGTTAGTTCCGGGTCAGGCAAAATATGTACTCACGTGATTTGACTGGGATGAACATGATTGTAGTTCTCAACTAGAGCAAGTTTCGCCTGTTCGCCAGCCAACTCCGCTTTTGAGTCTATGTACGAACAAAGGGCATGTGACAGTCTGAAAAAATATATTTTGTATGGTGTTATTAGACCAGGGGGTCGATTCAGAACCTTACGATAACTCGGTTGTCGACCGATTCGATTTGACATCGTGACTTTTCATTTTTATTCACAACTCCCGAATCGAACGTCAAACTGTCGTATTCGAAACCGAACCGAAATGACATCACACCCTTACAATTACTCGAACTTCTCGACCGGCAAAGGCTACACGTTATTCAGAACTGCCTCAGTGGCCGAACGGTTACCATGTCGGACTGCCACGCAGTGGTGCCAGGTTCGATTCCCGGGCCGGGAGAAATATTTGTATGACCTACATTTATTTCTCTCGTGAGTTTGGATGTAATTTGTGGTTGTCTATGTGTGTGTCCATGGCACCCGCGACACAGGGTTTCCCTAGTGCGGGGCTATGTTGAGTGTGTGCGTTATTATTATTATTATAAAAAAAAAAGAACACAGTTATCGAATGAAAGTTTCCAAACGTCTTATTGTTAACAAAGCAAGAACGAAATCTCTTATTATTTAAAATGAAGTCCAGATTTTGTTCAATTTTATTAATTTATTTTAATTCAAAACCAAAGCATTCCTATATTTTAGGCCTTTAAAGTCGTAAAAATGTATATAAAAGGATTTACATTTTTCTTATAATCTATTTTACCGATTAACTCCGATATCCGAATCGAACGTACTCTAACTCGTAACTCGAATAGCTCGGAAAGCGTCCTTCGATTCGAGAACGATATCCAATCGAAAGATTCGGTTAAAATATCGAAGAGTTCTGAATCGCGATCCAGTACCGCTAAGTGACAATTATCGCTACAGACGACGTTAAGGCTAATTATTATAACCAGTGATTGGAATTGAAGGAGTTAATTTACCTAAAGTATGAACGTTTTCTTAGTATGGACTCACCCTACCCTATAATAATTTACCCCATAGTAAATTATTAGCAAATTATGAACAGTAGGTCATTTCTGTTGCTTTATAATGTGTCAACATAAGTAGGGTTACAATCTAGTACAGAACTTATTATATTTAACTCTTATCAATGTACTTTGATTGTCATTTGTTTTCTTGTCTATACATTTTTATAGTTTATGTAATCACATAATAAAAGACATTAAAATATGAATGTGGGTTTAAATTCATAAAAACATCACATTAGTGTTTGAATGCCTAATTATGCATAGTTACATACACTGCTTTATCTACACACATACTATAAGCCCTCTGTGATGTGTTCAGGAACCGCATGTTACGACTGACGAAATGGCGGCAAATAAACACTTGTCTCACGCATGCCACGCCACCGTAGTTTTTTTTAAATTCATAGGCAAACTAGAGTCGGCCCCAACAATCATATCGTTCGATATCAAGTAACGTGTGAAATTTGTCAAAATTGTTTGCTAACATTTCATTTCGAATAAAACTTCATCTCGACTGATGTTAGAATAGAGGTCGAATCGTATAGGGAGAATAAAAAAAAAGAATAGAGAAGGTTCTCGCGTATACTGAAAAGGGATACCAACAGAGTACCTATGGAATTCTGGGTTGTCTACTTTTAAAATTTTACCCCGTTAAAGAAGTTGAAATGAAAATAAAGCCGTGGTAGCCTAATGGTTTGACATACTGCCTCTCAAGCAGAGGATCGTGGATTCGAATCCAGATTCGCACCTCTGAGATCAAAGTCCTCGGAAAACGTGTGCAGTCCCCAACCCTCATTGGGCCAGTGTGGTGGACTGTCGCCTACGCACTCGCCTGAGAGGAGACCCGTGCCCAGCAGTGGGGCGTATAAATGGGTTCATGATAATGATGAAATCTGCCGAGTCTAAGGAGGGAGAATCCGCCAGACCACATTTAGCTTGGTTGAGTTTTAGTAACCAAATAAAACAATTATGACAAATCATTACTTTTTTATTGGCCCTTGAACAGTATTAACTTATTATACATATTTCGAACTGAAAAAGTATTGAAAGGTAAAAAAATACAATATTTAAAATGACCCATAAACTGGGGAAAAAATAGTGGCAAAAGCCCTAAAATCCCTAAAATCAGCTTAAGCCTGTCTAATTTAATTTATACGTTATTTATTTGATCTCTCTTTCTCGCGTATCATAACTACTGCTGGTAGAAGCGAGATGGACATATTTGACAAAAGTAAGATATTCTCCTTATTGTAGGTTTATACGATGCAAACAAAAATCTTCAATCAAGAAAAACACTTCAAATATCATCTAAAATACATGGAATCGTAATATTCCAGGCTTGTAAGAGTATTTCACTAGTAATTCATACAACAAAATTCATTGATTGTAATGAAAAATTAAAACTTACATGTGAAAAGTTATGTTGGGACTTTTTCGTTCTGTACGGCTTTTACAGCCTAAAATATAACAATGCACCATTATTGTGAGCTGCAATAATTGTCAATTACTACAAAGAAACGGTTAGTACCTTTGTAAAACACTTCTTAAAAGCACAAATGCATAAAATCGATGCACATCAAACACTCGGAAGGATTTGCTGGACTCAACGACCGTTGAGTCATACAACCGCAACCGCATATGTAGAAAGGGACAAAAAATAATATTGTTTTCTCGTTTACTCTGATATGTCTGTGCATAAATCTATCTCGCTTATACGGTTTTTACTATTTATAGAGCCCCTCCCCAATTCTCCCTCTACGGGTTGAATCAAAATGTTTTACTTTTCAGAGATATTCGAAATTTGAATGTAATCATAAAATAGAAATTGATGTATAATAACAATAACATTTTCACAGATAAGAAATTTGTTCTAACAAAATAGGTTCTATTTGTGGTGGTCGTAATTTGCGATTTTTAAACACATCGTACTGGGTTTATGAAATGTGTGTAGATAAAATAAATAAATTTACCATCACATGCATTAATATGTGAAAATAAAAAGGCTTTACCTCTCCTCCATACTCCGGGCCTCAATCAAAGCAGTTTTTAAATCCTCATCAGTAAAATCATGCTGGCGTTTAAACTTCTTTGAAGTGTAGAGATCAAAATGTGAACAGAACAACGCTTGTGTTTGTTTGTATGAATCAAGTGGACCAAACCTTATGAACTTCTTAGCTATGTCCTGGAATGTGCGAAATAAAGTATAGTTGGAACAACGCTGCATCTTCCTAAACTTAAGATATAAATGAAACTTAAAATTTAAAACCTGGTATGGAAAAGGCAATCGGACAAAACACGTGTATACACTCATAGTGCGCACTAGGAAAACCCTGTATCGCGGATGCCATGGACACACACATAGACAACCACAAATTACACCCAAACTCACGAGAGAAATAAATGTAGGCCATACAAAAATATTTCTCCCGAATCGAACCCGGGGCTTCTGTGTGGCAGGCCAACAAGGTAACCATTCGGCCATAGAGACAGTTAATCTGAAAACATCTCAGATGTAGTTTGTGCCACTTGGTTCCATCGAAATGCCGAGATCCATGACAATCAAAACATGCCACTAATAGCTGCTGAAAACACAAAGAAAATCTATTCGGCCACCTGAGCCCACTCGTTAGGGAACTTTAAGGTAAATTTAGTAGTAGTAGAGCTCCTTGTGAAAATGTTCGTCCAAAGAAGTACCACCTTATCTAATGTGTGCATTACTGCGTTCCAGTTTTGAAGAGTGTTGTTGACATTACAGGCGCATGGGACTTGTCAACTTATGTCTCAGGGTGACTGACATGCACAGTGGCAGTGCCCCTCAGATCTTTGCAATTTAAAGCTCTGAGTGGCACTGCAACTGTTATGGATAGGTATGTCGCTTACCACCAGGCGCACTACTTGTTCGTCCCGTTACTTGATGTCACAAAAACATCAAGCGGCTGAAGAAAAATGTTCTATATAGTTATTTTTAAAACACTAACAACCTTGCTGAACTAGTTTACTAACATGACAAATAACAACTTTTGTTCCTTGACTTTTTACAAAACATAATAAATTTCCGAAGTTTCAAACTTACATTAAGTCTTTAAGTAAAAAGTCATATTACAAAATTGAAGACTACATGTTAGATAGAGATGTGTGGAAAGATGACATAGGTCTAGATTCCACACAAAGATTCAAAATTTATTCAATAGCATTTAAGTCTATTTCAAAAATATCAATCCCTAGAGTTTCTTGCTTGTTCTTGTCAGGGAAGTCAACTTAGTGAATGAGCAGTAGCTTAAAATACGACGTTTTCAAGTGTAAATACATTTTACCTTTGGAATAAATTATTATTCAACTTTGACTTTCTGAAAAGTGATCTGATTTCCTATTATACATATTGTTATACTATTCACTATATTTAAATCTTTCACAACTAATATAACAAGTTCAAGCTGAATATAACAACAGCTCTAAGTTTTGTATGATACTAATCTTTCAAATAGTCTTTCTTTTTTTAAATATATTTATATATTTATATTTCCCTATACTAAAATAATAATTTGAATAGTGTCTAAATAAATATACAAATGTCAAAAAGTAAACAAAGAGTCTTGTACCGGTAGATTAAAACAGAATGAATTTTGAAACCTAAAATATAATTATGACATTGACATACTTAGTTTCAATTTAAGAGTGTTAAGGCCCATGAACGTGATAAAGTATCATACTATAATGCACACCTTCCATAGTACTAATTGAGCTTGCCGCCAGTGCTTGTAGTGTTTAATGACAAAATGAGCTACTTACAATATCAGTGTGGCAATTGGCATAAATATTCAAAGTATCTGCAACAAGATCGCACACACTGTCTGTCACTGATTCCACCTGGTTGACCAACTGTAGACACTCCTCAGATGCTTTTTTTCCATCTTCTACATACTGCAGGTATGTCGAATTCAGTTTTGTTATTTCCACATTGAGTTCTTTTTTTATTAACCTGTAATTGAGAAAACATTTCAGCAATACGATGTCTACAGGGCTTTTTTAACCGACATAAAAAAAGGAGAAGGTTCTCAATACTGAATTTTTTTGTTGTATGTAGGTACTATGCTAATGCGTAAAAATAATTTTTACTAACTCATTCTGCAAAATAAGGTCCTTAACGAGTCCCTCTTGCCTCTCCAAAACATGCAATCTTTCCTGTAGAATGCAAATGTCTTGTTTGGCATCTTCTAGACTCTCCTGATCTCCTGACAGGCTGATGCCAGGGTGGCATTGTTGTATAGCTAATATTGTGGATTGCAATTCTTCTGGGGAGAGGAGGCCTCTTTTTTCAAGTTCTGTGTACCTGTAACAGAATGAATGGGAAAATGTAAAAATGGAGAAGTGTGCCATCACAATGTATGATTTTTTTTAAAACACACTCTTATAGCCGAGCACTAGGGAAACTGTGGGTGCCATAAACACAGATATAGACACCACTAATTACACCCACACTCACGAGATAAATAAATTCAGGCCATACAACTAATTCTCCCTGGCTGGGAATCTAACCCGGGACTACTGTGTAGCATGGTAACCGTTCAGCCACGGAGCCAGCTAAGACGGTTCAATAAAAGACGGCCAACAATATCACAGCTAGAGTGGAATACCAGTAGTCAATCCATATGCTATCCAGATGGTGACCTTACACAAATAATAAATAATAATAAAATAAAATTAAATAACAAATAATTAGAACATGTCAATTGGTCCATTTCATCCAAATAAATGTGTGAACGTTTCAGACAAAAGGTATGTCAAAAGAGTTCAGTGAAAATTGGACAAACCTTACAGTTGCACAATAAGGAAGTTCTTCCATTACTAAATAATATGCAAATAATAATATAACACTTATTAAAAACTGTAGTTCGGTTGATTTGATTTTACATATATTAAACTGTTTGACCTTCTTTTAGCTTATTAGCGGTGCACGTTGTGGATTTCACCAGTACCGCCAAGACGTAAACAAATTGTAGTCATCGACGTCGTGACACGGTTTTTGTTACTGAAATAACATTATAGAACATGTACCTGTATTCCTCGCGAGCACTCAAAGCATTATTGTGATCCAAATTGTTGTACAACCACAGCAAAATACCAGCGAAGTCGGAGTCGTCAAACATCCATTCAAATGACTTTTTATATGTCTCTACGCCCAAACTTTGAAGAAATAACACAAATTTCTCATCACACAAGTCAGCTTGCACGTTCATTTCTATAAAAATATTTAAAATACAATTTTTTCTACATATTATATTTTTAATAACATTACTTGAATTCCAGAACCGTTGCAAACAAAATTATTTTAAAATTTACTTTTTTTGGACACTTTATTGCCTGGTTAAAGAAACGTCAAAGAAGAAGTAAGAACAACATAACGTTTAACATTTCTGACGTTTATTCCAGTTCTATTTACGTAAAGCGTTAAAATGAAACCAAAGAAGTGGAACTGTCATCAATTGTAATGGCTATGGCTTCCTAGATATTAAGTATTATAAATTGTATCCTTGCGATCAAGTTTTATTTATTTAAAATTTTATATGAAATTAGAAAGTTTCTTCAAGACTTACCAAATAATTAAATACTGTGAATGGATAGGATTTTCGGGGGAAAATGCAAAAAATTAAATTAGGTAGGTACTGAAGAAAAAATTACAATTTAAGCAGTATTTAAAATTGTTCATGATTCTATGTTATGATTTCAATAATTCGTATATGTCAAGAGAACAAAAAGTGGGCAGCGCCTCAAGACGGTCTTTTTCTTTATGTAAGTACTTATAATTATTTTAGAAGGTCACAGTTAAGTTTTCAATTATAATATTGGTAAAAGATAAGGTAACGTACATTTTGTGTTTTTTTCATTGTTTAGTTAAGGTGCCCTGAAAACTACACTCAAAATACATTAAAAAAAAAGTATGTAAATGTAATTTATGCTTAAACTTTCCTTTATATTTTTAACCCATAAGATACAGACTAACGCTTCTATAATAAGATTCCGGTTCATATTCCAAATTGGCCATTCACGAGGCTTGAAACTATAGTGAAACAAAAACTTTATACCTACTAAAGTTTATTAAACAGCTTCTGCGTACTTGGATGACAAAAATCTGTGCTAGTATCCATTTAGCTCTTGCAGGTGTTCCCGATCTAAGATGTTTGAAGTAAATATTGTAAATTATAAAATGTATTCAAAATGTACATATCGCACCCTTACTAATATAAGGGCACAATCCAAAAAAAGTAGATTTTTGGGAAATTTGGGAATTGATAGGGACTTAAATAATAAATGGGATCAAACTTATATAGCTCCATATTTCTGTTATATTTTTTGTACTATATGGGTCTAACTTGTGTAAAGTGTTTTTTTAACTTGCTTGAAACTTATGGAATTTATTTATATTTTTTTTTTATTGCTATTTATAATACATTTATCAAAGAACAAATCTGCCAAATTTCATATTTATAACTTAAATATTAAGCATGTTATTTGAAAAAATTGGTGTAATGTAGGAATCCAGAATCTATACGCGATTTCCCAAAAATCTACTTTTTTTGGATTGTGCCCTTATATTACTAAGGGTGCGATATATTTACAAAGAGCAACCCCTAGAGCTTCTTATTTCAAGTGTAATTTGCTTACCTATGAAATAAAGAAAATGTGAGTTTGAGTTTGACTAACATCGTATTTACCTGGTACCAAAGTGGTGAATTATGATCCACAATTGAAATTAATGAAATGAACCACTTTAAACGGAAGAGCCGTGACAAGTCAATTGCGACACACGATTTGGCACATCCTCGCACTTGAACGGTACAAGTTCAAGGTTGGTATTTGGTACCGAATATTCTGACTTGTTGTTGCTGTTTTAAATTGTAATAAATTGACACGTGGGGAGGGTAGTTGTTTACGTTGTCTAAGAATAGTAAGCGGTATACAAACCTAGGTTCTAGAGTACTTATTTTTGTCGCTACTTCTGGGGCGTCAAGAGCAGATCAGCCATCGCTGCGGACCTGTGTTGAGCAGAGTCGTGCGTACCGATGCTAAACGCACAACGTCTTTTTTGCTCTTATTGCTTGGACATAAAACTCTTTCTGACCAGATCGGTGAGTATTATAAGTATTTCGGTGAGTGTGTCCATGAGCTCCATCAGCTCATCCCGCCCGCCCATTTTACCATAGGACATCCAGACGTACTGAGGGATATCACCCTTACTTGGTCGATATTCCCTTGGAATGGAATTCCGTGCCTGCGACTGTGTTTCCGAACTCATACAACCCGGGTATCTTTATAGTGCGATTGTATTGGCATCTTCTGGGCGAACTCGTTATATCGTAGATTCTATCTTTGCTCCAGAGCTAGGTAAATTGTAAAACTCATCATGAAATGTATTAGGTACTAAATTATACGTACTTATCCCATTGTATTTGTATAATACCAAGTAACGGGACACATAACTCACACTCTCGCCGAGATTGCGGTCGGTTCCACTACCGCGGCGGCTACCCCGTATATATAAGGTATCTATATTTTTGGTGGTGATGTTTGTGACTATAATTGCGCTGCTTGTATTATCTATTTTATTAATTTATTTTTCTAAAGGAAAATTCACTGCATAAAAAAATATTCAGCACAAGCGCAGTTTTATTAATTTTCTTCCATTTTTATTAACATGGACTTCCGCAAAAAAACGACTGAATCTATTAATTACTTTTGTTTTTCTTTATAGAGCTTTAAACATTTTTGTAATCTCTTTCGTTTTTTTTTATCCCGCTTCATACGTCTAAGGAAATGTTCTTTTCTGTCTTAAATTTGACAATTCCTATCGGTTTTTATTACGTAAACTAACTTATTAATTTTGTTGTTTTTCACAACCGTGAGACCATCATAATTCCTGCCATGAAGGTCCTGGCTGAAATCAGTGCTATGTAAACCAAGTCTGCAAGGCTTATACCGAGTTCATAATCCTCACCACACATGTTATAGCATTTTGTTTTAATTACTATTTATATGCAAGATTTTTCATTTTCAATGTTTGTTGTTGTAAATTTTTGTATGTAGCAAACATTGACTTACAAATAAATGGACGACGGGTCTAATACAAAAACCACGAAAAAAATGTCCCAAGTCAACCTATTTAAAGGTAGTGACATGTAAAGGAATATGAAAAAGCTAAAACGTTGAATTTAAATTGTAATGTCATCGCAATACTGTCTAATTCTGCTTGCTTCGCTGTCAGTCGAACAAACGAAGACTAAAGCGTGAATGACGCTCTGTATACGATTTTAACGCCCTATAAGTTCGGACACTTTTTAGCGCGGACCCGACGTCCATATAATTGTAAGTCAATGGTAGCAAATAAATGGAATTTGGAATTTTGATTAATGCACTATGACGCCAACAGAATGAGAATGTGAATAACTCCAAACTTTATTAAAAGGTCTCTATTTGTAAATTGCTGTAAAGCTCGTGTGAATACGCACTAAAACTCGACCTAAACAAGCTTTGAACAAGGATGTCCAAAGAGGCTTGTGAACCACAAAGCCTGTCGATTGTAAGCCGCGGCTTGTTCACATTTTGCTTCCGTCGACTAAGAGCTTTCTAAATTGCGTGGCTCCATTGTCATATCTACCAAAATATTAAGATAGAAGATAATATCTCAGCAACAATATAAATGAATTTGCTGTCGTATATTTCATGTCATGAACTCATGCAGAATTTAATAAAGTTACTATGTGTGCTACGATCATACCGACTCATCCGAAGAACAGAGTCCGATGTGATTATATAGCGAAAAGAGATTAAGGACGTTACGAGAATAATTTCGTTATTCAAACTAAGGCCTTTGTAAAGGTGTTTTTACAATTTATATATCTTGTTTCGTTTCGGAAATTATAAAATCGAACAACAGTCGATCTGACATCCATAGCGAAGAAGAACGAACGAAATGTACTATGTCCTGAGAACAAGTAGTCTTGCACATAGACCTTTGTTCTACGGATGAGTCGATACGTCAAAAGTGCTTTGTGAAACAAAAAAGGAGGAGGTTCTCAATTCGATAGTATTTTTTTTGTGTTACGCGATTACACCGACATTTATGAACCGATTTTGATGAGTCTTTTTTTGTTGGACAGATTGGTCCCGTTTAAACTTGAAGAAAATATTCCACCTCTAGAGTATTGCTTATGACAATAATTGTTACAGACGGATGTCGAACGGGAGAATGGGAAAACACCCCCTGAATCGTGAATGGGTATCTTTATAGTGCGACTGTATAGGCATCTTCTGGGCGAGCTCGTTATATCGTAGATTCTAGCTTGTCTTAGACTACCGAGACGTACAAAATTGAGTCTAGCTTGTAAATGTAGACTCCCGGACTCGAGTTTTTTTTTTTTAAATAAATGACGCACACACTCAACATAGCCCCGCACTAGGGAAACCCTGTATCGCGGGTGCCATGGACACACACATAGACAACCACAAATTACACCCAAACTCACGAGAGAAATGAATGTAGGCCATACAAATATTTCTCCCGACCCGGGAATCGAACCTGGGACCTCTGCGTGGCAGTCCGGCATGGTAACCGTCCGTTTTTACATCACTAGTGGCGACCCTAAACATAATTATGAACTTGAGTGTTTTTATAATGAATTCATTAGAAGGTTTGTTTTATCTTCTTTTGGGATGAGTAGACGTCTAAACTATATATTTTCAACTGAATTATTAATTTGAATGAAAAAAAGGGTTCTGTAAGTAAGTATTCCGAATACAATGGAAACGGTAGCTGAATGCTCCATCGACTACAGGAAGCAGCAGCGTCGAGCGCTCTCCACTGATGTGGCTGTGGTGACTCCACTTTGCTAGAAAAACAATAGACCACGTATTCGAGTACACTCACCATTTTATCAATTTATTACTGCACAATAATCTTTATTTTCTTTTAATGAAGAGATTTAAGATATTGCCATATTGCACGAACAAAAATGTAAAAGTCACAAGAATACCACATACCTTTTTTTTTATAAAAATCCGACCTCAAAAGTTTGTGAAAATACTTCGAAGTCGAGTGGCTTGCATACCGGTTTTTATAGTGTCGCCATCTTTGAAGTCCCGTGTTCGATCCCCGGTTGAGTCAATGCAGAAAATATTTTTTTTATATTATTGTATGGGTCTGGGTGCCTGTGTTGTTGTTTCCGATTTCTATAACACAAGT